ATCCCCAGTGTGTGTTATACAGATCTCCAGTGTGTCTGATACAGATTTCCAGTGTGTGTGATGCAGATTTCCAGTGTGCCCTATACAGATTCCCAGTGTTTTGTATAGATTCCCAGTGTGTGTTTGCTATACAGATTCCCAGTGTGTAGTGTACAGATTCCCAGGGTGTGGTATACAGATTCCCAGTGTGACTTTCCAGATGCTTAATGGGTCAAGCTCCCGGACAATAATAAACATTCGGCCAACAGTGGGTCAACAGCAGCTTCCAATCGTTTCTCTGCCACTTTACAATGTGTAACAACTCATTGGCCTCTCTTTACCTCTTTTTATGGCCTTTTCCCACCTGTAAAATGGGGTAAATACATTTTTACTTTATAGCAGGTGGGCAAGGTAGGGATTTACAGAAATTAGTGTTTTCACTAAGCTTCTCAAGTGCACGTCCATAAACAAGTGACTATTACCATCTTCTAATGAAGACTATTTGTCTCTTTGCTCCAACATCCATCTATAAACCACCAAGGCAAGGGGAAGTATGCTCATCACTGTTTGCCTTATTATCAAGATCAACTAACATCAAAGCTGTGCTTATACGCCATCCTGTACACAGCATCGAGACTTGTTGCTGGGGTAGTCCCCTATCTGCAAAAGTTCTGCCTGCATGTTTCTCAGAGGAAACATCCCTACATACACCTCTGAATTAGTAATGGATTCTTTGTTTTGGGTCCAGCAAGTAGAGAGAGAAGACAGCACAAGTTTGCTGCTACAGAATACTTGGACTTAAAAATGTCCCTGGAGGAAAGGAATATCTGGGTGTTTTGGAGAAAGAGGGGAGAGAAGGGCATACTACATTTTAAAAACAAAGAAAAGGAAGCTGGTGAACCCGGAGGGGGGGGGGGGCGCACTGGAGGCTGAGAGACTGGGGACAGGGCCCCCTGAAGGGGACTTCCCTCTAAACCACCTGCTACCCAAGAGTCCTCCCCTTCCTGGTTGGCTTTCTTGCGGGTGACAGTCTGACATATATCTCTCTCATACTTTCAGAACCGGGTATTAGATACTGTATATAACTAATGTTAAGACAAAAAAATCTAAAAATGAAAGGCATACTGCAAAACTGCGATTGTGTGAAGAAGATAATAATGGCTCCCCCCACACAAATTAAAAGAAGAAAGTACTACGATGAAAGTGTCATATAATTTGAAAGTATTATTAACATCTTTAATGTTATATTGTCCTTTCACTTAAAAGACAAAAAAAGCTATCTGGCAACCTCACAGTTATGAGAAGCCATTTTACTAGGCTTTCAGCATTACTAAGCAACATTTCAAATACTCTGGTCCCAGCAGCAACTAGTCTCCCATTGCAGTTAACTAGACCAATATTCCTCTTAAAATGAGGTTTATAAGCCCATTTAAAGGGTAATAACACGTTGCCTTCTTTGGATGAGACTTTCATCCTGAGGGAGGCTCTAGTCTATCCTCAGAGTAAAGAATTCAGGTTATACTCAGCAAAACAGCTTGCAAAACAGGCCTGGGTTTTGAATGACTTACATAAGATAGAGTGAGAGAGGACCCCGTCACCCTGAGGGGGCTGCCCCGCAGTGATGCACCTGCCCCAAGGGAGTCAGAATTGGGACTGTAGGCCTTCTGTTCTTGTAGAAGCAGAGATGGTAGCAGAGTGGGGAAGACCATGTTGGCAGAGGCAGGGAAGGAAAAACACATTGGCCTCATTTTTGCTTTTCCCCTCTTCTTCTCATGTTTCTATAGTAAAACAGGTTGGTTTTAGTTTATGCCACTCCTTTATTTACTTCCATGTACAATCTTGCTAATAGCTGGTAGATATTTTCTATTGGGGGTGGGGGGGTGGATAAAAGAAAACAAAAGTTAACACACACCCTATCTGTCCGTGAGGCTCATGTTAAATATGTAGGGTTGGATAGGATAGAATCTGGAGGGGATGCCCTGTGGATTCTAATTACTTACACCTTTCAGATTTCCTTGATTAGCCTTCCTTCACCATCACCTCCTGGACAACATCACTGCTGTCAGCTCAGATCATACTGTTGAAGGCCTTGCTTGTGAATGAGGTGGAAAAGGAACCACTTAACATAACTTAAACGTAAACTAAGCATTTGCTCAGAAGAAGCCTTCCTTGCCTGGACATGTATTATATTCTACACAATCAGTTGGTTTGCCCTCAGTATAGCCTCTCCTAAGGGATGGCCACCCTTTGATGCCCTCCTGGCCTTCTGCACCTTGCAGAAATGGAGCCCAATCAGTGATTTCTGGACAACAAGCAATCACACATCTAGATTTCACGCTATAGACCCACGCTATCCAATACAATAGCCATAAGCCACATGTAGCTATTTATATTAATATTTAAATTTTAATTATAATTTAACTTTAATCAAATTTAAATTTTGATTTCTCCATTACACCAGCCACATTTCTAGTGCCCAAATCAAATGGGCCTTGTGGCTACCATATTGGTCTGAGCAGATAGAGAACATTTCCATCATCACAGAAATTTCTTTTTTCTGTTTAGTGTTTTTTATTTATTTCTGAGAGAGAGAGAGACAGCATGAGCAGGGGAGGGTCAGAGAGAGAGGGAGACACAGAATCCGAAACAGGTTCCAGGCTCTGAGCTGGCTGTCAGCACAGACCATCATCACAGAAATTTCTATTGTCAGCTACAGAAGGAATCCTCTTAGCCTTCTCCTCATCTTATTTCCTACATCCCCCATGAGACTCTGAGCTTCTCTGAAAGAGTGGGTAGGGTTTTGTCACCTCTAAACCCCAGCTCCTAGTCCAGGGCTCTGCAGGGGAAACACTCACAAAATATTTGCTAGATGATATGGATGATCCTTTCTTTTTGCTCCCACAGCATGTACCTACCTTGGCCAAAACACTTTAACATAATTTTCCCCTAAAAAAAGTTTTTATTGATTTTTATTGATTTTAAAAGTAATACAGAAAAATAGAAGATAACAAAAATCAACAGGTAATATTCTTACCTATAGACAACCACTCCTAATATTTTGAAATATTTTTATTCATTATTTAACAAATAGATTTTTTTTACTGAGGTATAATTTGCATACAGTAAAATTCACCACTTTTATATGATATACATATGATGCATGGTGGATATAATTGCCACCACAGTCTCTTGAATATTTCTAACAGCTTTGAAAGTCGCCTCCTACCTCTTTGTGGCGAAACCACTCTCCCCACCCTCTCGTCTGGCAATCATATCTGATTTCTGGTCCTGTAGTTTTGATTTTTCAAGGATGTCATATAAATGGAATCTTACAGTAACTGGTTTTTTAGTCTTCTTTCATTTAGCCTAATGCTTTTGAGGGTCATCCATGTTGTTGCAAGTAAATATCTGTTCATTTTTTTATTATTGCAGAGTAGTATTCTATTGTATGGATACACCACAATCTGTTTATCTGTTCTACATTTGATGGATTTGGGTTGTTTCTAACTTTTATCCATTATGAATAGGAGCTGTTAAAACATTCAAATGTAGATTTTTGTACATACATGTGTTTTCATTTCTCTTGGGAAAATTCCTAGGAATTGGACTGTTAGTCACACAGTAAGTGTATGACTAATGTTACATGATATATTTATAGGAAACTACCATACTGACTTCCAAAGTGGCTTTTCCAATTGGCGTTCCCACCAACTGCGTATGAGAGTTTCCATTGCTCCACATATTCATCAGGATGCTGTATTTTCCTTTTCCTTTTTCTTTTCTTTTCTTTTCTTTTTTTTTTTAGTTGAGCCATTCTAATACATGTGTAATGCATTTCATTTGCATTTCCCTAATGATTAATAATGTTGAACATCTTTTTATGTGTTTATTTATGGTCGATGTCTCTACTTTGTGAAGTTTCTGTTTTAAACGTTTGCCTATTTTTTTAAATTGAGTTGTTTGTTTTCTTATTACTGAGTTGTTTCTTTGCGTATTCTCAATGCCAGGACTTACCAGAAATGTGTTCTACACATTTTTTATTTTCCCCTCAGTTTGTGGCTGGTCTTCATTTCCTTAACAATGTTTTCTGAAGAGCAGAGGATTCTTTTGGGGTTTTTTTCCTTGTCTTTCTTTCTTCTTCTTCTTCTTCTTCTTTTTTTTTTTTGAAGAGCAGAAGTCTCTAATTGTATTGAAGAACAAAGAAATATTTCTAAGTAACTGCCATCTGCTCAACTTTGATCAGCACTAAAGATACAATAAAGTTTATATCTGGTCTTTTTCTTGTTAACAAAATTAGCATCTACAGGCTTCTAGCCTATTTTTTCACTATCTTATCATGAATAGTTTCACATCATTAAATATTATTTGAAAACACAATATGTAATGTGTACATAGTATTCTCATGGCTATATCTTAACTATCGCACTCTTTGTGGGAATGTTTATATCAATGCCAATCATTTCTAAAAAATAAAGAAAAAAAATACATGATTGCCATCCTTGTGAAGAAGTCTCTGTGCACATCCCCAGTTATCTTCTTCATATGAATGCTCACAATAACAAAGGCTAGGGCAAGGGCATAGTGCTTTGTTTTCTAACTGTCTCTTCAGAAAGACTACGGATGTCTTGAAATAAAAATGTTACACCAGAATGGGATGGAGAGCCTGTCACATTGTAGATGTGTATATATATACACACTGTATATACTTAATGGATGAATAGTTGGTGAGAAAAAGAATTCCACTGAACTTTACCCTCTCCCCTTCCTCTGGCAAAAGAAAATAAGAGTTCCCTCAGCCATCTATCTCGCCTTCTGAGATAAGGGGAAGGCGAGAAAATCTGAGAAAATTTGCCAAGGAGATGGAGCTTCCCAGAAAGCGAGGTGACAAGCCCTGTTGCTGCTCAACAATGCCCTGAAGGGGCCCCGCCCCCAGCCCATATAAAGCCAGGGTGCAGTGGGGCAGCAGCTGGCGCTCAGCCTCCAGAGCACCGGGCTGGCATTGGCACGGGCACACGCACACTATGGCAAATGAAGTGCAAGTCCTGCTCTCCCCGCTGAAAGGGGGGCATCCTCCTGCAGGTAGGTACCCACCTGCCCTCCACCCTACGGATGGCACTGGCCTCACGGCTGTCGCTGCTTCTCTTTCCACCAATGCCTTTATCAGAGGCACCCCAACAGAGTGGAGGTTCTCAATGTCCTGCTGTTACTTTAACTTCATGCAACCTGCTTTCCCTCTGTCTTTTGACCTTCTGGGCTTGTGAATAAACCACCTGGGGATTTGTGAAGCCCCAGTTGAATTAAAACCTAATGACATAGGTAGGTGTAAGGGGCTCAGTGCTCATGCAAAGGGACCTTCCCTCTCTGGCTGGAGGTTGGCAGTGACACATCCACAGGAAGGTGATTAACTGCCATGACAACCTTCCTCCCAAGAAGTTCCAATCCTAAGACTCAGTCACCCAAAGATGTCTGTACATCATTTGACTTTGTACCCAGGCAAACCAGCTTCCACACAGAGGACAGAAACTTTATATTTCTCTTCCCTCAGGCTTTGGGGTTGCCTTGTCATCAAGCAAAGGAGAACTTTTTTTTTTTTTTTTTTTAATTTATTTCTAGGAGAGAGAGAGACAGCGTGAGCAGGGGAGGGTCAGAGAGAGAGGGAGTCACAGACTGAAATAGGCTCCAGGCTCTGAGCTGGCAGTCAGCACAGAGCCCGACGCGGGGCTCGAACCCACGAACCGTGAGATCATGACCTAAGCGAAAGTCGGACGCTTAACCGACTAAGCCACCCAGGCGCCCCGCAAAGGAGCACTTTTTAATAAGGACCCAAGCACTGGAGGGGGCTGACTAGAAAAGGTATCAATCAAGGTGTTTTGCAAAGTAGCCACAGTTTTCTCTCACTCTTTTTTTTTTAACTTATGCTCTCTGAAATATGGAAGTTAGTTTTATTGTACTTAACCATATGTTCATATAGATTGGCTAAGGTGTACGGGACTATTTTTAGCCAGTTTTATGTTCTTTCAACTGCCTTCCTTCTTTCTCCCTTAAGATCTCAAAATCTTGACCACATTTGGGGCACCTGGGTGGCTTAGTCGGTTAAGCGTCTGACTTTCGCTTAGGTCATGATCTCGTGGTTCGTGGGTTCGAGCCCCGCGTTGGGCTCTGTGCTGACTGCCAGCTCAGAGCCTGGAGCCTGTTTCAGTCTGTGACTCCCTCTCTCTCTGACCCTCCCCTGCTCACGCTGTCTCTCTCTCTCTCTCTCCTAGAAATAAATAAAACATTAAAAAAAATTTTTAAAAATAAAATCTTGACCACTTTGTTCTTGCCTTCCTCCATTTACAAAATTTATTTATTGGTTGGTGTAATTCTTAGTGCCTTTAATCAAAGGTTATTTCAGCCATCTCTGCTGCAGAGGATGCTGACAGGTAGGTATAAGCTTCAGAAAGCTCCAAACAGTGACAGAGAGGCTTGATGGCTTTATGGTGGGTGGCCCACCTGAAAAGAGTCAGAGTTTTATTACTGAATCTGAGCTTCAAGTTCTAGGCACACTGCCCTGGTTTCCTGTAGCAGACTCCTGACATTTTATGTTTGTAATTGGATTTAGCAATATTTAACATTATCTGTATTTAAAGTTAATGATGCTACCTAATGGTCAGGAACTATACATGCAAATTATTAGAGAAGAAATTCATTACAGAAAGACAAAAGAAAAAAAGAACACATTCTCTTCCCACCACTTCCACCCCAATCCTTCATAAAAAGGATAAGCTAAAACCTGATTTGCTAAATTACATTTATGCACAAAGAACACAGAGATAAACTTAACCAAATGAAAGTTTGAATGAAACCACCAGGAACTTTCTGTCCCTCCGCTAATGACTGCTAATTACTCTGTGTACATAGCACACCATGACTCCATCAAGCATGTCACAATGCCTCTGGCATGACAATTAATTATTATGAACTGTGACACTACAGATAAGAGGTTTGGGATAATTAGAATGGAGATGAAGGCAGACTTGTGCCTCCCTGCTGAGAGCGAGGGAACAAAGAAACCTCATCCTTCAGCTTGTCTTGCTACGTATTTTAAGCCTGAATCAGTTTGCTATGGTGCAAAATTGTATTTATGGCACAAAAATAATTCCTTGCCAAAACTCCACTAAAACATCACCTGATTTTTAGGAGCAATATAGAGATCCCTGAGAGTGGGAATCAGATGTGATATGGTGGGATGGGTCTGACACGGCCTTTGGAATCAGTCAGGCCCTAGGCTTAAACTCCATTTTCATTCCACATCTCTGGCCTCAGTTTCCTCATCTTTAAAACAGGAGCTTGGGACGCCTGGGTGGCTTAGTCAGTTGAGCATCCAACTTCAGCTCATGTCATGATATCATGGTTCATGGGTTCAAGCCCCACATCGGGCTCTGTGCTGACAGCTAGCTCAGAACCTGGAGACTGTTTCAGATTCTGTATCTCCCTCTCTCTCTGACCCTCCCCTACTCACACTGTCTCTCTCTCTCTCAGAAATAAATAAAACATTAAAAATAAATAAATAAAGCAGGGGCTAATAAGGGTGCCTCGGTGGCTCAGTCAGTTAAGTGCCTGACTCTTGCTTTCGGCTCAGGTCATGATCCACAATGTGGGACTGAGCCCCAAATTGGGCTTCACTCTGAGCATGGGGCCTGCTTGGAATTCTCTCATCCCTCTGTGTTTGCCCCTCCCCTGCTTACATATTCATACTCTCTCTCTCTCACTCTCTTTCTCTCAAAATAGATAAACTTAAAAAAAAAACGTCAAGATAGTATTGTTTTAAAAAAATTAAACCTCTGCTAAGTCAGCCAGCTGTACTCTGTCCACCTACATGTGCTTTTCTTTCACATATATGAATACAATATATTGCATCTCTGTCAGCCCTGGTCATACATTTGTGCTGTGAAACGAGTATCCATGAAACATGACGTGCCCTAGGCACTAGTCAACTTAGCTTTGAATTTTCTGCTTTTCTGATTTGCCTCGCTCCCCGTTTTAGAAGAACCCCATTACATGAACAGACAAAAATGTGTGAGTGGAAAGTAAGATGAGGAAGCCAAGTAACTAGAAAGAGCAAGAATTCCTGAGTTTTATATATCTCTTACATTTTGTAATTTGGTTTAAGTCAAATGAGTCAGAGCCATCAGAGGGGTCACCTTAAAACCCCCAGAGAGAATCAGTTTTCTGGCTCATTAAAGAGAGAAGGAGGTCTGGGGACATGTCCAAGTGTGAATCTCATGCAGAAAATGAGGGGAAGACCATAGCTATGTAAGGACAGGAATTATTTAAAATAAAACAAACACCAAAGGCTTAATTCTCAACTCCAGTCTGTTCAAGTCACCATATGGGAGTTGGTCTGTGAGGCTCGAGGAGACACTGTGATGCCCGCCACCCCAAACATTACAGGGCCAGGGGTCGGGATGACCACAGGACCAGCTGCTCTCCTAGACATGCCCACAGCCCTGCAGACCAAATGTGCTATCATCTTTGTTTCACGGAGGAGCCGACTGAAAGTCAGCAAGGTTGAGGGACTTTCCCAAAGCCACAGCTAATGGGGAGTGGGGCTGAGATTTGAAAAGAAAGTGGGCCCCGTGCCAAAGGTCTCCTGCTCTAAAGCCCTCTCTAATTACCTCAGCACCTTCTCCTGACTTTTTCGTTTGGGTTTTGATTGGCATCTTAAAATGGGCTGAAACATGGGGCACTTGGGTGGCTCAGTTGGTTAAGCGTCCAACTTCAGCTCAGGTCATGATCTCATGGTCTCTGAGTTTGAGCCCTGTGTGGAGCTCTGTGCTGACGACTCAGAGCCTGGAGCCTGCTTTGGATTCTGTCTCCCTCTCTCGCTCCCTTCCCCGCTTCACACTCTGTCTCTCTCTGCCTCTGAAAATGAATAAACCTTAAAAAAAATTAAGAAATGGGCTGAAACATTGACTGTAAATGCAAAGTGAATGTTTTGCAAACATCTAACCTTTAATTAAAAATTTTCAAATATAAGTGCTAAGGCAAAGGCAGAGTGTACACAAACCTTTGTGTTATTCAGCTTTTCTCTATCCATTTTCCACTGATTAGTGAAGGAAAAAAAGCTTATTTTGAGGGCAGATGTGTCTTTCTTTACCTTGACTACCCTCTACCAAAAACTGTTGCCTGGAAAATCTTAACTGAAAAGTTATTATATAGTATAATACTTAATCAGAGATAGGAGAGCAAAGGTTCATTTTCCCCACATAAATTTAGATTTTCTAATGAAACTATCCAAAAGGGCATCTCTCTCTTTCACATGTTTTTAAATCTCTAGTTCATTTTGCTTATTGAAAAGACCTACACTCTTATCTCATGTATTTGTACTGAAAGACCTGTTAAAATGTTAAATCAGTTCATATTTTACCTTGCTCAATTCCAGTTGGTCCTTCTACAGAAATCCAAAAGGCAATATAGTCCCCAAAATGGAAATGTGTAAATTATTACTACAGAAATCCAAAAGGCAATATAGTCCCCAAAATGGAAATGTGTAAATTATTACAACTTTAAGTAAACTAATTTAGATACAGTGAAACTTTGAAGCATTCTCATGAGTCAGATCTATCTGGTATATTGAAAATGGGCAAGCACCTGATTGTGTCGGGTGGTAAATACTTATTTATAATAGCTTATCTACAGGATGGGAGACCAGTATGGCCAGTGTTCCCAGCAGAGCTTTGAAGCTGACTCTCCCACAAACTGGTTCCATCTGGTTCAGTCACCACAACTAGTGAGAGCCTTAATCTGTATCTTAGTGGAGCCATCTACAGCATGAAGATATTACCTTCTGTGTCTTTCTACTGTACATGCCTGACCAAGTATATTACCTACCTACCAGAACAACTTTAGTATAAGAACTGTGCTCTGGAAATCCTAGGTGTCTGTGGTTTACTTATGCTTCCTAAATTACTGAGTTAGAGCATACAGCCCCGTCACAGAGAGGACTCAAAGATTCCAGGATGGAAGTAGGAATATGGGAGGATTTTTAATTTCCCTTCGAATGTCTTTGTTTTATTGTTCTTAAGAGTGCATTCTTAAATTTCTTTTGACATTCTGTTAAGTGCCTTATATTCTTTCAAAGGGAGGAAAGCAATTTTACTTTGAAGTAAAGACTTTATAATAAAGATTATCTAGTTCAACTTCCAGCAAATTCTCCAAAATTGTCCTAAGATGTTCATGGCAAGTGTACTTTTTTTCTTTAACACACTGAGAGCCAAGGGACTTACTCTTGTCCTAAGCAGCCTACTTCACTTTGAATGACACCCACTAGCCAAACTAGTAGCCAGCCTCTGCCTTTGAGGAGCATTTATCCTTTGGTCTTCATTCTCTCCTCTGGAACAACATGAAATAGATATGCGTAGTAACAGTTGTCAAGTGCCCACCATGAACCAGGTGCTTGTATCACCTCTATTCTCTAGAACAACCTGAACAATTGGTATCATTGAAGGATGCAGAAACTGAGTCTTAGAGAGGTTTAAGCATCTTGCTCAAGGTTCCAGAGCTCAGGAGGAGTAGAGATAACTGATCCTACATAAAATTTCCTCACCAAGAAACCATTTCTCCTCCACATGATAATCCTCTTTGAAGACGGCACCTAAGTTCCCTTGAGTCTATCTTCTTCAGAAGTGATCTTTCCAGACTCCCTACTTCCTCTTGTGACATGGTTCCCTTCTCCTCTCTGGCCCCTCTCCTCTGGACTTCTCTAGATCGTCCAGATCCTTGCAGATGAGTGGCACAGAACTCAACATTCCAAATGGCTTCTCATTTTTAACTATTGCTTATTTTAACTATTAACAAGTTTGCTTCTATAGTTGGTGATAATACTCAGCCTGGTAGAAGAAAATATGTTGAAACAATAGCATCAGAGAAAACACAAGGAATATTAGTAAGAAAATAATTTTAGCCCTCCATATTTCAAAAGCACTTGTCACAAGGAGAATGAAAAATACAAATGAGGAGCTACTGAAGGCCTCATACTCTAGACCCTCTGCTTGACTCCTCTCAGTTCAAGAGACAGCAGCGTTGTAAACACCATCACCCCTCATACAGGGGTGCACCCCTCCTCAGTGTTCCCAGAAATGCCATCCCTTTGTTTATTTCACATCTACATTCCACGGCTGTTCAGAAGAGATTTTCACATCATTTGATTTCTTTCCCACATTATGGGCCTTTATCTCACATAATGTTTGTCTGTGTGTGTGTGTGTGTGTGTGTGTGTATGAATTTAAAGCAGACCATGTGTAAAAATAGTATTTTTTTTCCTAGACTGCATCTAATATTACAAAATTCTAATGAGAGGCTTTTATAATCAATGAAAAAACAGCTCGGTGATTCAAAATGACCAAGTGGAGTTTATTCCATGAATGCAAGAATGGTTTGATAGATATCCATTAATATAGCTTTATATATTAATATATGTTAATATAATTGACCACATTAAGGACAAAAACCATGCATCATATCCATGAGTGCTAAAAAGTAAAAAGGCATTTGTACTTTTAAGCCCAAAGAAATAATATTTCCTTAATATGAAAAAATATATAAATATATATAAATTTATATATAAAAATATATATAATATAAAATATATAAAATATATATAAATATATATAAATATATAAAATATATATAAAATATATAAATATATATATATACACACACATACACATGTATATTTGTGTGTATGTGTGTGTGTGTATCCACCTAAGTAGAAAGATATGAAAAACAATATCTTAAAAATTAGGATAACAAAGATGTCAACCATCATGACTAACATTATTCTACAGGAAGTAATATTATAATTCTTTGCAGGTTATATAATTTTTTTACCCAAAAAACCTAAGAGAATCAACCAAAAAAAACCTATTAAAAACAGTAAGAATTCAGTTAAGATCTAGGTCTAAAATCATTGATACCAGAACAACTATGATATAAGAACAACAATTGAAGAATCAACCACATTTATAATAGCAACAGCAAGACAGACCGCTTAGGGGATAAACCTAACAATAAATGTGTAAGATTTATGCAAACCAGTTACCGAGGGACCAAAATAATGGAAAAGCATACCATGTTCTTGAATAGAGAGCCACCAGGAATGTAAGGTTATGATTTTCCCCTAAAAGGAAGAAATCTCGGGGCGCCTGGGTGGCTCAGTCGGTTAAGCGGCCAACTTCAGTTCACGTCATGATCTCACAGTTAGTTCGTTCCAACCCAGTGTCAGGCTCTGTGCTGACAGCCTGCTTCCTGTTCTGTGTCCCCCTCTCTCTCTGCCCCTCCCCTGCTCATGCTCTGTCTCTCTCCTCAAAAATAGATACAAATTTAAAAAATTATTTTAAAAAGATATCACTTTTGGGTCACTTATTGGTTGACAAAACAAAACATTTCCAGCTCACATTGTTGCCAGAGGTAGGGCAAAGGAGCACTGTCATCGGAGCTCGTGAGATTGTAAACAGGTACAACTTCTGTGAAGGGCAATTAGGCAACATGTAACAAAATTCCGAATGCACATAGAACTTAAGAACTAACAAGATCACTTGTAGGAATTTATCCCATGGATATACTTGCATTTGTGCAAAATTATGCATATAAAAGGATATTTGTTGCAGCATTATTTGTGACATCAATGAATTAGAAAAATCTGAAATGTCCAACATTTGGGAATTGGTTAGGTAAACACAGAATGTTCATATAAAGAAATGTTAAAGCAGATGTTAAAAAGAACGACACATTTCTACAAAGATAGGTAAGGAATTTACTCCAAAATTTATGATTGAATGAAAAATATAAACTAACAAGATGTAAAACAATGTCTGTCAATGCTGCCATTTAAAAAATAGTAATGTGATGAGGCACCTGGGTGGCTCAGTTGGTCGAGTGTCCGATTCTTGGTTTCAGCTCGGGTTGTGATCTCATTGTTCATGGTTCCAGCTCTAGGTCGGACTCTGCCGGCAGCACGGGAACTGCTTGGGATTCTCTCTCTCTGTCCCTTCCCTGAGCTCTCCCCCCACTCCTCTCACAAAATAAACATATAAACATTAAAAGAAAATAATTAAAAATAAAAAAATAAAAAATCGTAAAATATGGAATATTTGTGGATGAACATATAGGAAACATGTAACATTAGCAGTTCGTAGGGAGATGAACTGGGAGCTGGAAATAATGGTAAGAGGGAGACTGCAGACCTCTTCATGCTTTTTGAATTGTGTGCCTTACGTGTGTTTTACAAAATCAACAAAAAATGTGATAATTTTTAAAGAACAAGGATAAAGTCAAATTCACAAGTGCATTGAGAAATAGAATGGGTTTTCCTTATTTTTTCACTTTATTGGGACTAGTTTTAGAAATTGCCAATTTGGCATTTCCATGAAGCGAATTAACAAGTTCAAACACATCAACATCCATTTAGCTTTTTCTCCTTTGAGTTTGTTAGATTTTAGATGTGCACATTTCCTGGGAACAGAGAGAAATATTTGCTTTGACTTGCAATCTGAAATGGGTTGTTCCTTTTCAAAAGTTGATTTCATCTGACATTGTTAAATACTTGAATTGCTGTTAGGTCATCTGTAGCCTAATTAACACTAATTGATCTCCTGAATGGCAGGATTATTAATGTAGTTTAATTACTCATTAGAACCTCTGAGCTTGGCCAACGTCAGAGGTTTGGGGTCCAGGATGGAAGGTGGGTACCCAGTGGGATCAGAGACATCTCTCTTGAATTAAAGGCCTGTTACCACCACGTGCCCTGACTTTTGGCTCATCTCTCAGAATCTAGCTTTTGAATGATCTAGTTGGAAAAAAAAAAAAAATGCAAGCCTTGCACAAACTCTAATCTTGTGGGAAAACAAGAGGGTCACATTGTAATTGTCTGTTGCTGTCATAAAGAATGTAATTGTTTTGATAAGAGAAAAAATGTTTTTCAGTGAAATGCCTAAGGGAGTATGTTGTTATTCTCCTCCCCAAAACAAAGGTGTAAACCTCTGTTGGTTTTTTTTAGCCTCAGTTCCTGCTCTCTGCACATCAAAAAGCAGGCCTCAGCCCTTCTCCCCTTCCCCACCTTGTTTGCATGACACAATATTTTTTCTTCAATTCAGGGTAACATTTTATTGTGTTATTTTAGATAAAAGTTTAGATCTTCAGAAAGTAAGTTCTAAATTTTTTTTCAAATCTAAAAAAAAAAAATCACAAAGCAAGACTGCCCTTTCTATTCTAACCACGCCTGTGTTGATGCTTACTTGTTATAGTAAAAGCTGGAGGAATGCGAATTTCCAAAAAACAAGAAATTGGCGTCTTTGAGAGACATACCAAAAAGACGGGATTAGAGAAAACAAGGTAGGGAGTGTTTGATTTCTTCTTTTTCATCACCTCAGGGAGTTTTGCATGACTGTGCTTCCAGAAGTGAGAGGCTTCCCTGAATTTTAGGACAAACCTATGCTCCCTAGACCTTGGTTGCACAGGGTTAGAGGCAGCCAGCCAAGAAGGGACGGTGAAAGGGGGTAGCCATTCACCCCATAGCTACCTTCTGAAAGATTCTCTTCCCTCTCCCCCTCCTCTCTGCAGCTGGCCCAGCTGCCTTGTCCTTGTACTTCAAAACCACAATCCTGACTGCATCCAAACCCAACTCCTGCTCCTTTAGCCTATTTTCACATGAGCCTAGACTGGCCCTGGTTTTATAATATGCTTTCTGCCGTAGCAGATCTTCTGAATTAAAAATAAATGGGTGAGGTGTTTTCTGGGGAGGGGGAGTTGTTTTAAATCCATTACTCAATTATTTAGAAAATAATGGCCACTATATTTGGCATAGCCAGAAGGCATATAGTTACTGAGGTTGGTTTCTCCCTGCTCCTTCCCCTGTATTGACAGAAGGCTCCATTCCCCAAGCTAAGCTGAGAGCTGTGGGCTGGTTGGGTGTGCAAATGGCCCAACCACTCTGCACTGTGGTTAAAGAAAATGTGTTAAAAAAAAAAATAGGAAGGAAGGAAAGAAGGAACGAAGGAACAAACTGGCTTCTCCAGGTAGGTATTGGGGCGCACTTCAGAGACCATTTCAAAATGCTTCCATAGATGACCCGATGAGTGATTCAAAAAGGAATCAACTGGAAGACATTCAAGAGGTGTCCTAAAGAATTAAAATAGTAGCAGTCCCAGAAAGAGAATGCAGAATGGAATTTCTGTTGGCTGTTTCTTATCTTCAAGTCACTTTATTTTTTATTTTTTTTAAGAAAGTGTGAGTTGGAGAGGGGCAGAGGGAGAGAGAGAATCTCAAGCAGGCCCCATGCCCAGCACAGAACCTGACTTGGGGCTTGATATCACAACCATGAGATCATGACCTGAGCTGAAATCAAGAGTTGAACACTTAACCTATGGAGCCACCCACGTGCCCCATCTTTAAGTCACTTTTGAAATTTTCGTCCCAATTTCTGGGAAAGAACTTTACTGAGGATCTGTTCCACTTTAAAATGAAAGACTCATTTGCCCCATTACCAGCCTGTTTTTGTTTCTTCTGATATCAGAGAATAACTATCACATAATGAAAGCCAATGATATAAAATCCTCAACAGTGGGGGTCACATATTATTCATCTTCAGACCCAACATCTAGGACAGTTCTTAGAACAGAGAAAGCACTTGAAATTGAAAGCTGGCTTTATTCTGTAACTAAAACCTGATTCAAACAGAAGCCCTGTTTTTTGTGACCTGATTGACATGCCTGGGCCAGGGTTCTAAGGAACAACTGAAAAAGCCATGGCTTAGGGGCATCTCAGTGGCTCAGGTGGTTGAGCAACGGACTCTTAATTTCCACTCAGGTTATGATCTTACTGTCGTGAGATCGAGCCCCATGTCAGACTCCACGCTGGACGTGGGGCCTACTTGAGATGCTCCTACTCCCTCTCCCTCTGTCCCTCCCCTGCTCACACCCTATCTCTCACCAAAAAATTAAAGGAAAAAAAAAACTCATCACTTGGATACATCATCCAGTTGGCAGCCAGTGGACAAGTCATTCATTTCTCTGCACCTCAGAAAATGGGGACTTGCTGTTAATTGTGTCATCAGCTGAACGATGTGGGAAGAGTTGACTAGAGACTAATAAAGTGGTGATTGGAACCCTCTTAAAAAACTCAATTGTTGTCTGTCAGTAAAAATGAGAAGGGGATCACTTCAAAACATAAACAGCAAGAAATAGCTCACTCTCTCATGCCCTATTCACCAGCAACGGATATAGGTATGTGAGGCCTGATGTGTATAGGATTTGGGGGCCATTTTAAGGAAAAATAGTAAAACATTACAGCTATGAAATGGCTAGAAACCCTCCTGAGGGGGAAGGAGCATGTGCAGGGGTGGGCCCTGAAGCTCAAGCTTCTTTAGCTCTACCCTAAATTCACCTCTGCTGTTGTCATCCCTTTTGTGAATGTATGCATGAGATATGAGGACCTCATTTTCATGGGCAGACATCCCTCTTACATCTCATTGGAGAATGGCTTTTGGAAAATGTATTATAGGAAATAAATTTCTAAGCATCATCAATCTATGTCCATTTCCTAATAACTTCTAACCAACACAAAACATCCAGAAAAAAAAATGCCAAGTGTAGTTTCCATCAAGAAATTGCACTGCAGGCTTAGCCCTAACTGATGCTCTCCCACAAAATGAATTGGCCAGAGAAAAAGAAGCCAGACACAAAGGGGTACGTGCTGTGTGATTCATTGTATGAAGTACAGAAACAGTCAAAACTAATCTACAGGGCTACAAGTCAAGGTAACGGTTATCCTCAGGAGTGGCATGTTTGACTAGTTGTGAATATTCGCCAGGCTATATACTTCCAAGGAAAGATAAAACAAAAATACACTAGTAAAGGGGCTCTTGGGTGGCTTACTCTGTCCGACTTCAGCTCAGGTCATGGTCTTGTAGTCGGTGAGTTTGAGTCCCATGTTGGGCTCTGTGCTGACAGCTCAGAGCCTAGAGCCTGCTTCAGATTCTGTGTCTCCATCTCTCTCTGCCCCTCCCCCCACTCAAAAATAAGTAAAGATTTTTGTAGCACATGGGCACACTGAAGCCAATTTTCTTTTTGCCTTCTAGCTATTACCAAGCAAGTGTAAAGGCTTAAAGGCCAAGTAGATATAAATCCTTATATAAATCATTTAGCCTCCTTAGTAGGAAAGTTTTCTCATCCTATATGAAATTTTGTCTCATTTTTCCAGTGCCATTGCAAATATTGCCAAACTGCAGGCGATGGATACCCTGAACGACACACTGGAGAAGGTGAGCCATGGTGAGGCCCCTCACGAGATGCTGCCAGTCAGTATTTATCCAATACACCAGTCTGCATGGGTGAACAAGCACTGACCACTGAGCCTCTACCCAACTCTCAGAGATCTGATGTCCTTGTGAGAGAATCTGCTCTCAGTCCAAGGAACACAAAGAGGTTTGGGTGAGAAAAGTTGTTTCTCCCAAATTCCTAATGTCTATTTAATAAATCACTTCAAAAATAAGATAGAAAATAAGGCAAGCATCATGATACCAAAATGGCAGTTTTACTTTGCCATGTTTTTGTAAAAAAGTAGCCTATATAACAGGAATTTGGCAGTTTTTTGACCCTTCTCCCCACCATAAGGAAATATTTGATTTCAGGTAAAGGTGGCTAGTGGAGGGTTGCATGGTGCATGGTGTAAGGCTGGAGGAAGACTAGGCACTAGCTGGGTTTATCCAGTTGAATCTTTTTATGAGGGTGGTTGGCCATTGCTATTTTTGTTTCTGTATTTTGTATTTCTTCTAAGTAGCTCCAGAAATTGGTAAGAAAACTCTTACCAGATCGACAGTATTTTGGTTTGGATTTACTAGTTTGTGAGGTTTTTTGTTTTTGTTTTGTTTTTTAATGTTTTATTTATTTCTGACAGAGAGTGTGTGTGTGTGTGTGTGTGTGTGTGTGAGCAGGGGAGGGTCAGAGAGAGAGAGAGAGACACAGAATCTGAAACAGGCTCCAGGCTCCGAGCTAGCTGTCAGCACTCAGCACAGAGCCCGGCATGGGGCTCGAACCCACGAACCCTGAGATCGTGACCTGAGCCAAAGTCAGATGCTTAACCAACTGAGCCACCCAGATATCCCAATTTACTAGTTTGTTCTTAAATTTTGTAGGTAAATGAAGTGATGGTCCTCATTCTACTTCTAGGGGCCAGATATTTTGCATTTATGGCCGTGAATAACTACTCTTTCTGCTGTTCTCACTTGAAGGGACAGGATTGCATAATTTATAGAAGAAAGACTAGCAGTTGCTGTCAAAATCAGGGATCTGGAAAAGATTGGAGCAAATACTGAGTAGCTAGACTTCTAGGGCCCCCATTTGGTAGTGGCTCCTCCACTACCGAGGTCAATTTGACCTTGATCAAATTACTTATCCGGTGCCTTAGAGAAGTCATTTGTAAAATGGAGATAAGAGTATATACTTCACAGGGTTGTTGTGTGGCATAGAGGAATGTCTACACATGAAGTTCTTAGGAACAGTGCCTGGCATGGAGTAACCTGTTTGCACTCTGTTTTGGTAGTAGCGCTGTTTTTATGGCAGCGAAATAAAAAGGTGTGTCTGAAGTCCAAGGGATGTAAAAGGCAGCTGGTACATGGCAACATCTTTTTTTTTTTTTAAGTAATCTCTATGCCCAACATGCAGCTCAGACTCACAACTCCAAGATCAAGAGTCACAGGCTCTACCAACTGAGCCAACCAGGTGCCCCAGTACAAGGCACTATCTTGATTATAGACTACAGCTACAAAGACTTCTAAGGAGTGGGGCTTGGTTCTCCCACAAATCTATTTGAGGTGAGGTCATAAGCAACTCTTTGCCTTCCTGGCTTTAGAAGAAGGGGAGGGATGGATGGTGCCCTGCCAGGGCAACACACAAGCTCCCTGCTTCTGCGTCTCACATTCTTTTGCAGCTGCCCACTATACACCTCTCCCCAAGGTGCCAGAGTATCTTCACACTTGTAAGTGGAACTGAAAGGATTAGACACATTCCCCTAGAATATGTGTTAATCCCAGATAAAATGTTTAAAGAGAGTGGTCAATAGAGGTTGATTATGCTATACTAGGTTGATTATGCTATGCTATATTAGGTACAGCGCCAGTCTACATTGCTTTCTATAGACATAGGTGCCTATGTCTATGACATAGAAGGGGGCTTTTCCTTTCCATTAAAAATATTACTTCCTTGGGATGCCTGGGACAGTTAAGCATCCGACTTTCGCTTAGGTCATGACCTCGTGGTTCGTGGGTTCGAGCCCCGCATCGGGCTCTGTGCTGACTGCCAGCTCAGAGCCTAGAGCCTGTTTCAGAGTCTGTGACTCCCTCTCTCTCTGACCCTCCCCTGCTCACGCTATCTCTCTCTATCTCTCCTAGAAATAAATAAAACATTAAAAAAATTTTTTTAATATTACTTCCTATTTCACAGATTAAAAGAAAAATCAAGGGGTGCCTGGGTGGCTCAGCCCATTAAGCATCTGACTCTTAGTTTCGGCTCAGGTCATGATCTCATAGTTTCGTGGGTTTGAGCCTAATATCAGGCTCTGCGCTGACAGGGCAGAGCCTGCGTGGGATTCTCTCTCCTTCCCTCAGCTCTTCCCCCACTTCCACTGTCTCTGTCTTTCTCAAAATAAATAAAAGTTAAAAAAAAGAAAACAAAAAAAAACAACAGTAATAACAAGTTGTATTTGTAAATCATAAGAAAACCTTGAGCTGGTGTGTTATTACAAATACTTTTAACAGCAACTATACCTATTTTGTAAAAAAGACCTTTAACACTTAGTTCAGTGTTTACTGTCATAGGACTGTGGCTAAGACTACACAGATTATTGGTTAGAACAGGTCTGATGTAAGACATCAAATGGGTCTCCTGCTGCCTCTGTCATTCACTACCTATGTGTTCTTGAGAGATTTCTTCCCTTTTCTGTGCCTCAGTTTCCCCATCTGTAAATGGGATGTGGTTAATAGTATGCACTTCCCAGAGATCTTGTGAGAAGAAAATGAAGTTATATAACACATGCAAAGTACAGCAGGGCCAGATGCAATTAGCCCTCATAAGTATTAGCTTCTATTCCCAAGCAGGTATCCTACAGGACATCACTCAAAATCCTAGGCAAAGGGTAAGAGGCAAGCAATAAAATCAAATCCCAAAATCACCGTGTATGACTATCTTGAATATGGCAGTTGGTGGGATCCATGTGTTTTCTTTCTATGAAAAAATTCCTCCCTAAATCCATAATTCAGCCTGAAGCATAATAAGATTTTATAAGAAAGGTCAACTTGGAGTGAAAAGACCAATGCCTTTTATAAAAATAGATCTGCTGAGATCAGTGGTTGTCAGGAGCTGGGGATGGGGGGAGCAGTTGACTGCAAAGGGATAGGAGGAAATTTGGGGGGGTTGAAGGTTTTGTCTCTTGATTTTGGTCACAGACTGTACGTACTTGTGAAAACTCATGGAACTGTACACTAAAAGGGTATATTTTACTGTAGATAAGTTTTATTTTAATTTTTAATTTTTTTTTAATTTAAAAAAATGGTTTATTTATTTCTGAGAGAGAGAAAGAGACAGCGTGAGCAGGGGAAGTTCAAAGAGAGAAGGAGATACAGAATCTGAAACAGGCTCCGGGCTCTGAGCTAGCTGTCAGTACAGAGCCCAACACAGGGCTGGAACCCACAAACCATGAGATCAGGACCTGAGCCTAAGTCGGATGCTTAACAGACTGAGCCACCCAGGTGCCCCTACTTTAATTTTTTAAATGAAAAAGTGCATCAATTCTATAGACTCATACAAAAAAATTAAGGTACGTAAAAGATATAGAGGTGTAAGTATATGTATCTGCTGAGGAATTTTCACCTGCATTATGATTCCCCCCACAATATATATTGTCATGAAGACCTAACAATACACAATTGGCCAGAAGAAATACAGTAGCAGAAATGAGGGTCATATCTTCTGCCTTTTAGTAACATTCACTCATGCCCTCAGCTAGAAATATGTTCAGTTCCAAGAACCCATGTTAATTCTCATAGCAATGCAAGAATTTAAAAGTCTAAGGCAGAAGGAGGACAGTCCTATTCATAGGATCTCATCAACCACTTAAACATGGTAAGAAATGTCTATCCATATGTTATTCATCTCTGGATGCCCTACTTTAAAATCAAGTGTTTGAGATCTGGGAGATTGAAAAACAATCCCCCGAAGCTTGGAATTGTATGACTCTAAGTGGGAAGCAGCCTAAAATTTGCCCCTTCCACTTTTTCCAACTTCTCCCTGCACACAGACCTCTCTCCCACTACCTTTCTCCATCTTTCCCTACCTCTCCAGTCAGCCCTTTCTGCCTCTTCCAGCCCTACATGATGAGAGAATTCATGGTGCCAGGTGGCAAGCCATATAACACGATATTCCTGCAGAAAAGGGGTTTTGTAACCCCATAAGCTCTCTAAACTAAAAATCTGGGAGAACCCATCTCAGACCACGTTCCATCAACTACTTAAAAAGGCTGTTTGAACGTTTAGAAGTCACGTAGCTCCTCTGAGATTTATGATTACTCATTTAATCTTTTTTTTTAAGGCAGGGAATGAGAGTGAATGATACTGCCAAATATAATTCTTTAGACAGTTATGGAAGTTAGATTTGGCAATAGTTGTGAAGCTTCTCTGAACATGAAAGTATCCAGTTGAAGCATGAGTAACAAGGTTGGGTTATGGTGTGGAGGGTTTGGAATGTTGAAGCCTAGTTAAAGTCGGGGCCACTTTTCAAGTTGCCAGATGTGTCACCACTGCCAAAGTTAGTGAGATGTATGTGAAACGGGATCCTGGGGGAGCGGAAACTATCAAAGGCATCTTCAAATCTAAAAAGGTTTCTCCTGTTCTGTAGATTAACATCACCGTAGGAGTATCCTTGAATTTCATTGACTTCAGCTGAATGTTTTGTTTTAAGCATTTTGCTTAACAGGGTGTGGAAATTGAAGTGCCAACATTCAAGTTGGAAGTTAACACCCTGGAAAGATGAATGGAAGAGCTGCCAGTCTGCTAACACTACCTAACTTCAGGCTCTAAAATAAAACCTGACACTGATTTTCTTGCATCTAGAATTTCTCTCATAGCTCCAATCACGAAGGCTTTTATCATACTTCTTTTGCATTTTCTTCGAAACTAAAACTATAGGTTCTGAGGTCACAGCTACCCGAGATGAAGGTAAATTCCCAATGGAGTAGTTTCTATTGATCTGCTTTTCAAGTTCAGTGTGTTGTCCCTTATGTGATGGAGTCACAGCAAGGCAGAATCCTTATACATATACTGGCCTTGAATTCTCTCTCTTACAGTGTTACCCTAGATTCTCTTATCCTAATGAATCAGACAAGAAACACCTTTCTTTTTACAAACGCTGTCTTTTTTAAAGACTAATGATGAAAATTCCAAAGCTTCCCCAAAGTTCAGACGCTAGCCTGAAAGACAGCTGGTTGTAGGTTGTACTCTGGAAAGCTATTCCTTCTTATTTCTAGTTCCAGTTTTGAAAATAAAATCTTTCTATCTCCATTGATACAAAATTTACAGCAAAAAATTAGGGCATTTGGAGCTTGACCATTTTACTTACAGCTTCATCAGTTCCGATGGAAGACTTTTTATAGACTCACCACCCACAACCTCCAAGTCCTTCTACATTAAGGTTTTCCTGATTGAGGGAGCGGGGCATATGAGAGAACCTGATTCGCTTGTTGTATATTCAAGACTTGCTGTATAGCCTTGTTACTCCCCCAAACCTGTACGTTTGTAATTTAATAATTATGTTCAATTTCCCTAAGCCTATTGTCTTTGCCAGAATTATTTCCGCTTCCTTCTCAATCTTGTCAGTTTTTTCCCTAAACTTTCTCAGATCAGTTCACAGATGGCCAACAGGCCCCAGGAACAGTTTCTCATTCATTCTGCTCTGCAGCAGACCCCTCGAAAAAGCGGCTGAGCGGAACTTTTAGGAACTCCATTATATGCCTTAGTTAAAATGTAAACCCTACCTCTTGTGCATTACTGGTGGGAATGTAAAATGGTATAGCCACCATAAAAAACAATATGGCAGTTCCTCAAAACATTAAACATAATATTGTCACATGATCCAGCAATTCCACCTGTGGGTATATGCCCAAAATAATTGAAAGCAGGGATCTGAATAGATATTTGTATACTAGTATTTATAGCAGTGTTATTCACGATAGTCAAAAGGTGGAAGCAACCCAAATGTCTATCATCCTACGGACATATCCACATTAAAGATAAACAAAATGTGGTATATTTTTCAGCCTTAAAAAGGAAGGGAGTTCTGACACATATTACAATAGGGGTAAACTTTGATGACATTATGCTAAATGAAATAAGCCAGCCACAAAAGGACAAATACTTCATGAGTCCACTTCTATGTGATACCTGGAGTAGTCAGAATTCATAGAGACAGAAGGTGGTTGCCAGAGGCTAGGAGTAGGGAGGAGGGAGTAAGGAGTTATTGTCTTAAGGATACAGAGCTTCAGTTTGATGCGATGAAAAAGTTCTGGAGATGAATGGGAGGGATGGTTGCACAACCATGTAAATATATTTGATGCCACTGAACTGCACAGTTAAAAATGGTTGAAATGGTAAATTTTGTCCTGTGTAGTTTACCACAATTTTTTAAGTGATCAGAAAAAAAAAAATGCAGCCTCTACAGTGTGGAGATAATCCTGGAGATGATCAGGTACCAAGTTAGTTCCGCCTGTCCCCTCCTGCCCCACCCCCACGGTGATCAGTCTCACTCTGCAGAACAACAGTCAGTTCTGGGGCTTCGCCTCCTCAGTCTCCACTTGCCATCTGGCCCCTCCCACGGTGGTTACTTGCCCACATTTCTGTTGGGTAAGAATTACTTGTTTCCTTTCTCATTCCCTTCACCTTGTGTTTGACTTGAAGTAACCTGCCAAATTGTTCATCCTATCTGTAATCTCTCGAATGTGGTTTAGGGCAAAATTGAAATAATCCATCTATTTTAGCTGACACAAAAGACACCCAGTCTGGAAAAAAAAACTACTGAAGTTGGTGGCCTCTTAAGTTTCTAAGGCCTCTTAAGTTTGGTTCCAATGTTGAAAGAAAAACAAAACAAAACACTCTGCCCTCACCACACTATAAAATGCCTGTCATATGGCCCAATGATAATTGATCTGACAAAAAAAAGATTCTAAAGCAACATTTATGACCAATACCTCAATTATCTGTCATCCTTCCTGCTGAAACACCAGCAGAGACCATCCTTGGGTTTAATTATTATATTACTTCTGTCTGCTCATTGTAAAAGAAAATTTTTAGAAAAATACTGATAGGCAAAGTAAAACAAAAGACTAGGAATTGCCCCATAATCCCTCAGAGATAACCATTGTTAACAATGTTTAGCTTATACTTTTCCAGTCTGTTTAATTTTTTAAGACCAAGAGAAAGGACTTTCTGGAGTCAAGTTTCACATGAAAGGGAATGCTGTGTGTCCAAAGCTCAGGGACATTTGAGAAGAGATATAAGGCACATATGTTTTCCCTGGCTTAGAAGAGCCCAAACAAACTATAAACAATGTGATGCTTGAGGTCATGTGCAGTTTATCTCCCCCTTTATTTAACTTGAGTGTCAGGCAAGGATATCTAAGTTCTACAGTGATAAGTTAAATTCCTTGTGAGCTGAGGCATCCCTTCATTGCTGGCTAAGGCAAGTGTCCTTATTAGGCATCTTTCTATTGTATCCATCAGCTTAGAAACCAAGAACTGGAACGGACCCAAAAGGTCACTGGGTTCACATTCTCCTCCTAGGAAAAATTATGTCTGAATGGCTCACTGCATTGGGCATCTTTTCTATCTTAAGCTGTCCTTAGTGTAAATTCCCTAAGGTCTCTTGGCTCCATGTGAAATTCCTCTTATTCTCAAAAGTGTCTGTGTTCATTGAAAGCCACATAAGCCCTTTTCCTCATAGATGTCTTCCATGGGATGACTAATGAGAACTTTTGTTACCTGAAGCTAGTAATCACTCCTCAGCTTTCTATTTACCAGACTGTAGAGACTGAACTATATTAAGTAGCCAATACGGGACCATTTTTTACCTACAAAAACAGCCATTTCACACACTTGAACATACTAACTTACCCTAACTCTTCCTTACTTCTTCCAGAAGCTCCTTATTTCTGCTTTTTTGACAATGGAGGTGTTCCTCCCCCGCAGAACCTTCCCCAGTATCCCCATAGCCTACTTAGAATATAGTGCTCCATATATGCATACTAGTGCCACAGTCCTTGCTAATCTTGTAGGACTGACAAGATACGATTAACCATTTCTACCTTTGCAGATATAACTTCAAAACGTGCATATAAATGCACATGTATCTTCTGTATGTTATCTTTTATATACTATTATTTATAATTTTCAAAACCAGAAACTAGCTAATGAGAGAAAATCCAGGTGAACATAAACACATATGAGCCCAGAGCTAGAGGTGGTTTAAGAAAAGAAATATTAAAGAAGCAACCAAAAACTGTGAAGTTGCCCCAACCAACTGTATTGTTCTCTGCTACTCTAATACTTTATAACCAAAAAGGTCCAATACACTTATTTTTTCTTTCTTTCTCACCTTTAGCTCAGCCATAAATTTCCAACAGCAGTGCATATGGCACATCAGAAACCCAGACCTGCTCTGGAGAAGGTCACTCCACTGAAAAGGATCCACATTATTCAGCAGCCTCGAAAATGTTAAGCTGGGACATAAAACACAGCCATCTGGCCAACTGCCTCGAACATCTGACAGCTTAGCAAAAGGCCCAGAACTCTCCATAGGTCTAGTGCACTTGCTTGGTAAATAAAACAGCTTTTGTATCTTCTCTTTTTACTTTAGATAATAAAGCATCCAAAATTATAAATCCAGCACCTTCCTGGGCCTCCTTTTGATGCAGCCCAGGAGCCCACTGAGGTTTACATTTGTAATTCTGTTGAATGAGTGGAGAATCCAGAACACTTGACTATTCCACTCCACCTCTCAGGATAAGCCCGTCTCTCCTTGATGCTGACCCTGAGCTGTTCCACCCATACTGAGTTCTCCCTGAAGGACAAAGGCTATCTCTGAGCTGTACAAAAGCCAATAATACCCTGTGCAAACATGAGGAGTGATTCTTCTCCGTAGGTTTGTCCTAAGATCTTCAGGTTTTCCCTTGAGGTAAAATTCCAGTTTTCCCTGGAGGTAACATTTCCAGTTCCCCACATAAATACATAGTTTGCTTTGAAGGTTTGGTGAGGGAAAATGAAAAATTTAGATTTGTTGCAAACATCTACTCCTCTGCAAAGCAATCAGGGGTGGAGAGTAGAATTAGAGTTTCAGTGGGAGATTTGCTCAGGGCCTCCCACAGAGTTCTTGCTGCAGAACCTAGGGGGTCACGACACTACAGGGCATTGTGGTTGGAGTATAGATGTTGATTTTAATCGAAGGTGGGGGTAGGAGGGAAAGTGTTGCCATAGTTAACCTTGCTCTAGCTCTCCTACCCTCCACCACTCTCCCTCTCCCCCTCTCTCCCTCTTTCCCTGTCTCCCTCTCTCCTCCTCTCCCCATATACTCAAATGTTAATAGCCAAGTGTGTCTTCAGGTGATAGTAGAGGAAAACCACATTCTTTTTCCACAAAGGTTAGCTGCCACTCACAGTTCTACCATTCTGTACCTCTCATGCTATCCGGGGCACCTGGGTGGCTCAGTCAGTTAAGCGTTGACTTAGGCTCAGGTTACAGTCTCACCATTGGTGAATTCAAGCCCTGCATCAGGCTCTGTGCTGACAGCTCAGAGCCTGGAGCCTGCTTCAGATTCTGTGTCTCCCTCTCTCTCTGCCCCTCCTCTCTCTCTCTCTCTCTCTCTCTCTCTCTCTCTCTCTCTTTTAAAACTAAATAAACATTTAAAAATTTTTAAATAATAATGCTATCCAACAATCAGCACTTGTCTTGACCCAAAAAAGTGGTCAGTGCTGGAGTCCATCATATTATAGGTTGATAATCCTTGGGGAGTGACCTTGTCCCATGCCTATGCCTGATTCCTGGAACTCCAGAAGCACTTGGATGAAGCCCGGTGGTCATACTGATGCATCTCGCCGCCTCCCCTGCATTGTTTGGCTCTTCTTCAGGAACAAGAAAATTGTTTCAGACAATATTGAGACTTCAGCCAATGCCCGTATGAATCAATAAGACAGTTAGTCCTAACCACCCCACTTTGGCTTAGCTCAGTTCCCAGTACTCTAAGACTATTGTCAGAAATATTCCAGAAAGGTAACTGTTGAGAGGTGTACTTGTTCTTGTAAATGCACAGAAGTGCAAGATCAGTCATGACTCCCCAGAAGGACAGTAGCAAAGTATAAAGAGGATAGTAGATACCAGCTGGAACACTAGATTAGGAGATTAGGAGACTTGGATTCTACTTCTGACCCTTACTAGTTCTTAAACCTTAAAAAAGTCACTCAACCTTTCTGATCCTTGTCAAGCAGGCATAATAACACCTGATCCACCCACCCCCAGTTTAAATTTCCCAGGGGCATACACTGGGAAGAAGACAAAATGGACCCTGAGGTTTGTAATAAGCCATGTCAAGAGTAGTGAGAGCAAGGTCTTACCAGGATGACTGTTCTAGAAGCTTCCAGAACTATAGTAACAGGAGAACTATAAGCAGTGGCATACAATGAGCCTGGAAAAGGAATTAAAGGAAAAGCTGAAGATTTGAGGTCAGATGGAAGCGAGGAGCAAACAGAGGATGGTGGGAAAGGAAATGGGAAGCGAAGATGGCAACACCATTAGACATGACTTTCCTGCGGGTGACAGGAGGGCCAACAACCCAAAGGAAGGAGGAAGAGACGAAGGACGCCAGTCTCCCCTCGATGGAAGATGTATTGCAAGAGAAGAGAGGCTGCTCAAAGGGAGGCTATGCACTAAGGACCCAGCAGTAATTTAGGCCCACAATTGCAGTCGCTCAAATGACCAAATTACAGGAAGTGAGAAGTTTGATGTGAACTTCAGTTCTGAAAGGAATTGAAATTATCTCAGAGAAAATGTAAGAGGAAAAAGACCAGCCCAGTCAGAGAGCTTTGTGGTGATATGGCTGTACACGTAGGTGCCAAAGTGGCTGTTCCCTGAGGAAGCCCTGGATGGATGTGCTGTGGCTCCACTCAGTTGGAAGCCCCTGTGAAAAGTTCACAGGCCCAGCCAGCACCATGACAATGGTGGAGGACTGTGAGGCGGCACAAGGCTGGGGATTTGCTGGTAGACAGTTTTCTTTAGCTCCTTTCAGTTCAGCACGCTCTGTCTTAGGCACTGGGACATGAAGATGAGTACAAAGTGGCCCCTGCCTACCACAAGATCCTAGACCAAAGGGGACCAGGCATGCCAACAAATCAACATGCGGAGAGAGTTTATAATGGCTTGGTGAGAATGGGGGGCATGCTGAGGAGAAGGTCTTATTCAGTAAAGGAAAACAATGTATTGGCTACAGAGATCACTAACCCACATGCAGATCTTGAGTAGACAGCCTTTAGGTAAGGTTTTTATCCTGGAAATTTTCAAACATGCACAAAAGTTGCGTGAATATCATACTGCACCCTCAGGTACTCATCACAGAGCTTCAACAATATGGCCAATCTTGTCGAATCCATAGCATCCAGACCCTCTTCCTCTCTCCTTCTGGATTATTATAGAGCAAATCCCAAGTATAATTTCATCTAGAAATACTTCAGTATGCTATCTTCAAAAGATAAAACACTCATGCGTGCTCTCTCTCCACCCCCTCTCTCTCCCTATAAACAAAATATTACAAATACTGTGGAGAAAAAAAAAGAGTATTATATAAACAATCCAAGAATCTTTCACAATAGAAGTAAGACTGGTATTGCTACGTGAGCTACGAGCCAGAAACAAGTGCGCGCTCACACACACACACACACTCAGCTGAGCCAGTGGTGGCCACAAAATGACAGCTGTGAAATTTGAGGAGGCAATGAGAGGTGGGACCTCAGAAAGGGAGGTAGAAAATGAAGATGGTTTTCAGGTTGAAGAGAAGAAACAGGTAAACATAAAGTTAGTGGGAGTAAACAAAAGGTACAAGAAGAAACCACTGGGGAAAATTAGTACTTGTCGAGGAAAAGAATACAGAAAGCCCTTAAAAATGGATAGTTCCGAGGTTACTCAGAGGAATAACGTGATGATAGGCTTTCTTCAGATGGAATTCAAGTCCAAGGAAAGTAGGGGTGGTTTGAGGTATGTGTTACTTTTTCAAGTGGGTGTCTGGATGTCAGCTGGAGTCACCACCCCCTTCAAATACATCAGAAGAGCTCAAACCCCCGTCCTACCCCGAGTGGGTGTTCAAAGCCCTTCCACAATGTCTGTGCATCTCCAGGAATCACCTCTGATTTCCAACAAATTTGCTGTCCTGAGTCCCACCACCCTGATCTCATCTTGGCCATTTTCCATGATTTCCCCAAAATCCTACTCCAGAGGGTGATAAACTTACCAAAGATGTAGCAGAGTTTACATCAGAGCAACCAGACAACCTGCAGTAGAATATTAGATATCGCAAATGTTACATGTATGTCCTTCTACTACCCGCTCCCCCTAGCCCAGGGTTTTTTTCACTGCTTATAGCCCTGGCAGGCCCCTATTCCTCCCAGCATATTGCTGATGGCTTCCCCTCTCTCATTCTCTTTTCCTCATCTTTCTGCTCTTCCCCTCCTCCTAATTTCTGTTCAGTTCCACATCAGCAACTAGTATTTCTTGTGTTGTCTTGACTCCTGGAAAAATCCTTAGGGAGTCACCTTACCCCTAAATAATCTCCCTGCTTCCAATAAGTCTGACATCAACTGTGAGGATATCAACATTTTCATCCAAATATGTTCTGAGTGATTGATTGATTAATTAATTATAAAGGGTGAAGTGACAGAGAACCTGAGCCAAGAAAAATGAGACAAAGAAAAAGTGGAGAACTTCCAAAGGAAATGTTGAAGGACTGAAAGATAAACACATGAAATTAGGGTGAGGCGAGCTTCAATTAACAATACATAATACAGACAGATTTTGAACCTGCTTTTGCATACAGGGTTTCATGAAATCTTCACAAAATTCACAAGATGGTAGCTGTCATTACCTCAATTTGCAAATGACAATCTTGCGCCTCAAAGAAGTTAAGAGATTCCCAAGGTTTTATAGCTTAAATGGAGGAATTTCTCTGGAAATCTCTTAATCCCAAATCTAGACCTATCCTCCGTGACCCCATGAGATTACAGGCTGGAGCTGAAGGTTAGAGGCCTCCAAACCGAGAGGATCTGGATGTAATTCTGACTTTAAAAATAGAGCTGAATTTGAAGAGAGAAATCTATGTGAAAGGATTGGTTTGGGACCAGTCAAATCCCTTAACAGGGGAAGCGGCATTTAGGTTCCGATTTTCAGGGTTTTGTTTAAAAGACACAATGTAGAAGTTTGAAAGATCATGGAAGTGAACCAGGTTGGGAGAAAATGTATAATATATAGATATGAACCCTCAAAAGAAAAAAGAAAGCCAAACAGGGAAAATATGCACAGGATGCCTCCCCTGTGCACAGCAAAGGCACGAGGCTGGGGGCGATGCCACGTGCATCTTGGGAAAGGAGCGAGGGCAGTGGATAAACCAAAGGTGACCTCTGCAGGGAAGTACTTATTATCAGCCTATGAGATGCAGTTACAGAGATGTGGATGTTTTCTAACCAAGCTAAATTATTGCAAAAGCATGTTTTGAACGACCTCTATGCCACCTCATGAGCAGACGTACCATAAGCCTCCGGCCCACATTTGCTCTGGTGGTTTTCAA